AGAAAGCAAACTGTAAGACTTATACAGTGAAAATCACAAAGCATTTAAAGGCATTAGTCAGGGCTAAACAAGTCAGAAGATTTGGGTGTCCATGGATTGAAAGACCTGATAGTGTTATAATGGTGATACCGCCAAGTTCCACCTGTGTATCCAAGACAATGCCTATGAAAATTCCAGTCGCCCCTTTTTGCAGAAATTAAGCTGATCCTAAAATTCACATGGCAATTCAAAAGGCACAAAATAGCCAAAAATATTTTTGGAGAGCCCAAAAAAGGTGGCTCAGCAGATAAAAGCATTAGTCCCCAAGCCTGACAACCTGAGTTTGGTCCCTGGAACCCACAGCAGTGGAAAGAGAGCACCAGCCTGTGCACGGTGTGCTGTGGCCTCCACAGGTGTCCACGATACACCCACACCCAAACGAACCAACACAACAACGTGAAAACAGTATTTCAGAGAAGGACAAAAGCAGATGACTCATACTTTCTAGTTTCTTTTTTCTTTTGAGAAAGATCTCGCTATAGCCCAGGCCGAACCTCAGATTACAGTAATCCTCCTGCCTCAGCCTCCTAACTGCCAGGATTATATAGGCATGCACTACCACCCAGTTTCTACTTCATGATATCAAAACTTACTGTAAAACTATGGTAACCAGAACTGTAGGACCGACAGAAAGATATACATAGATTAATGGAATAAAACCGAGAGTCCAGAAGTCGAACCGTATCAACTGATTTCTGTGAGGGTACCAAGACTACTCTGTGTGAAAAGAATAGTTTTTTCTGACTTGAGGCACTGAGCAATGGAATGAAGGTAGACTTCTACCTAAGATGTTATTTTTAAAAACTTCTTAAAAACCTCACTTGAGGGTGTCACAGAAGTAGAGCACTTGCCTAACATGTATGAAACCACAGGTTCAATCCCCAGCATTTAAGTAAGAGGAAATTAACTCAAAATAGATCCAATAGTGAAATACAAGAATTAAAGCCATAAAACCATTAGAAGGAGACAGATGACAACCTCAGTGGCCTTGGATTGGGTGAGGGTTTCTTAAGTGCATCACCAAAAGCATAAGCAACAAAAGAAAAAATAGAAATTCAAGATTTAAAACCTTCAGGCATCACATGAGAAAGAGGACAGGAAGGGGACAGAGAGAACTGAATGGTAGGAAATATTAATTAGGGGTGTGTTGTTATTGTTGTTGTTATTAATTCATTTGTTTTTATTTAACATGCATTCATGTTTTTCCTGCATCTATGTCTGTGTAAAGGTATTAGATTCCCTGGAACTGGAGTCACAGACAGTTGTGAGCTGCCATGTGAGTGCTGGGAACTGAACTCAGGACCTCTAGAAGAGCAGCCAGTGCTCTTAACCACTGAGCCATCTCTCCAGCCCAACTTTTGCATTTTTTCCCTCTGAGGCAGAGTTTCTCTGGAGGTTGTCCTGAAACTCACTCTGTAGACCAGGGTGACCTCGAACTCAGAGAGATCCTCCTGCCTCTGCCTCCCAAGTACTGGCATTACAGGTATGCACCACCACCACCTAGCTTTAAATTTTATTTTTATTTATGTGTGTCAGTGTGTGCCTACTTGTTTATATGTGCCCCACATACATGCAGTGCCCATAGAGACGCCAGATCCCTTGGAACTGGAGTGACAGTGGTTGGGAGCCATCTCTTGTGGGTGCTGAGAACTGAGCCAAGGCCCTCTGCAAGAGTGGCAAACCCTGACTGCTGAGTCCCTCCCTCCAGCCCCCACAGAACAACTTTAGAGAGTCAGTCCTCTCTGCCTTGCACAGTCGATCTCTCACTGTTTCTGCTACTCTGTGTGCTCCGGGCCGCTGGCTGTGAGCATCCTGGGAATTCTTGTCTCTTCTGCCCTCTCACCCACAGGAGTGCTGGGGTTACAGCTGTGCACAGAGATCAGGCATCTCCCCATGGGCTCCAGGGCTTGAGGTCTGCTGCTTATCAGGTTTGTCCTAAGCCATTTCTCCAGCCACAGAAAAAGATACTTCTAAGTTGAATAGCCAATAAGGATTTAGGACCTAGAATACATTAAGGGGGGAAAAATCTCCTTGTCACTCAGTAATGAAAAGGACAAATAATCAAATTTAAATAAAAAAATTCAAGAAACTTTTTTCAGAAATATATGTAAACAGCCAGTAAGTACTTAGAAATATGCACATTATTAGTCTCCCAGAAAAGCAAATCAAACCCAAACTGACATTCCACATATGCTAAGTAGGAAAGCTATAGTTTTTTGCTTGTTTTGTTGTTTTACTTTTGTGTGAGTGATGTGTATGTAAACCTGCTTGTGTGGTGGATGGGGTTCACATGCGTGTGGCAGCCTGAGGTTAATGTCTAGAATCACCCTCAATTATTCTTCCACGTAGCTTGTAGTCAGGGTGTCTGACTCAAACCCAGAACTCAGCAAGAGAGCTAGTCTTGCTAGCCAGCTTGCTCCAGGGATCCGTGTCTCCGCCTTCTAAGGCTGGGATTATACCTGGTATTGACATGGGTGCTGGGGATGCAAACTCACGTCCACACCCTTGTATGCAAGCACTTCAACCGTCTCCCCAGCCCCACCCCCTAGACGTTTTGAGTGACACAGATTAACATGTTCGCAAACACACAGAGAAAAATGGAGCTCTTGTGTACCGATAGTGAGGGTGTAAAACGTCTCGGCTGCTGTGGAAAACACAGTTACATATGTGTGATATTTAAAAACGTCAACTTGACAGGATGCGAAATCACCCATGAACAAGCCCTTTAAGTATGATCCCGAATGGGTTTCTAGATTGGGTTAGCTGGGGTAGGAAGACCAATCCTAACTGCGGGTGACATCATGTCATGCTCTAGGTTACTGGAACAGAAAGGCAAACAAACAAAGCAAGAGGAACGACAGCTCTCAGCTCCCCCAGCTTCTCCTCCGAGACGGACTGCACCCTCTGGGACGAGCCAAAATAAACTGTTCCTTCCTTAAGCTAATTTTGAAAAGCATTTGATCAAAGCAATAAGAAAATATCATGAAGTGAACCGATCCAAGAAAAACAAAACAAAAATTGGCATGGTGGCACACACCTTTAATCCTAGCACTCTGGAGACAGAGGCAGGTGAATCCCTGTGAGTTCGAGACCAGCTTGGTCTACAAAGCAGGACTACACAGAGAAACCCTGTCTCAGAGCAGGGGGAGTGAGGGGTGGGGGGTGTACCACCATTGTTATAAACCCGACCGCCTTTGAAACATGGAAGTGTCTGCGCTCTAACAAGCCAAACCCTAACTATTGGAAACAGATTTCAGTGTGCCATCCTGGTGGGAGTTTAGGAGACCAGAATGCCCAAAGAAATCCAGACAATGGAGGGAGGCCACACTCCTGAGGTTCCAGAGGTGAGCAAAGGCTTTTTCAGAAACGGAGGCTGGAGTCTACTTAGACTGCATTGTGGCAAAGAATCTGGCTATAGTCTACCCATGACTTGAGAACGTGAGTGAGGCTGAATTGAAAAGTAGTGGACTAATCTGTTTGACAGAGGAAATGTCAAAACAGGGTACCGTTCAAACTGTGTCATGGTTATTGCTTACTGACCTTACCTAGTAAAGGGGAGGAGGGAGAGGGACAACCCTTGTACCGTGGAGCATAGAAGATTAGGTGTCACTCATCTAAGGCTCCACCCTGCGAAAATTCACTGGAGCAGTGAAAGCCTAAACTAAGAATGCAGCTGAAGGGGCTCCCTGTCCCCAAAGACCCGTTAGGGAAATGTCTCCCCAGGTTTACACACAGACACTGGTGGGCACAGTGGTCCAATGCAGCTGAAGGGGCTCCCTGTCCCCAAGAGACCCGTTAGGGAAATGTCTCCCCAGGTTTACACACAGACGCTCGTGGGCACAGTGGTCCAATGCAGCTGAAGGGCTCCCTGTCCCCAAGAGACCCGTTAGGGAAATGTCTCCCCAGGTTTACACACAGACACTGGTGGGCACAGTGGTCCAATGCAGCTGAAGGGGCTCCCTGTCCCCAAGAACCGTTAGGGAAATGTCTCCCCAGGTTTACACACAGATGCTTGTGGGCACAGTGGTCCAATGCACCTGAAGGGGTTCCCTGTCCCCAAGAGACCCGTTAGGGAAATGTCTCCCCAGGTTTACACACAGACGCTGGTGGGCACAGTGGTCCAATGAGACCAGGCTATACCTTGAGCTGGCAGCAGCACAACTTGGCAGTGTCATCCACATCCATGCCTGGCATGGAACGTGCCAGAGTGAAGGGACTGGAGAGGCTTGCACCAGGGCTCCAGAGAGCCACTGAGGACAAGCAATGTGTGTCAGGGTTAGAGTCCCAACTAGGAGGCTCTGAGAGGCCATCAGGTGAAGCTGTGAGGCTGAAGCCCACACTGCAGTTGAGACCCCAGGATGTTGAGCATGCCAACACTATGAGACACCTGCTGATGAAAGCCATGATGTGACCAGAGTCTTGGCGTCAGAGCCTGAGCTTCGGTAACCTTAACGATCTGGATCAGGGCACCTGCTCAGTAGGACAATTAAACAGATAAGTTGTATTGAGAAGCAGAAAATCAGGTTTACTCAAAGAGGTCCAGTGACTCCAGACTCCATCTTCCTGAGAGGAGACGTAGGCTTATTTCTTTTTACATTGCATTTGTTTGTCACACACACACACACACACACACACACACACACACACACACACACACACGAGTGCATGCGCATGTGCGGCAGAATGCATGTGGAGGTCAGAGGACATCTTACAGGTTTTCTCCTTCTACTTTGTGGGTCCCCAGTATCCATCTCAAATTGTCACACTTGGTGGCAAGCACCTTTACCCACTGAGCAATCTCACCACAGGAAGTGCTCTCAACAATGAGCCATCTCCCCAGTCCTAAAGTAGCCATTTAAAAAACTTGAACACACACACAGATACAGAAACAAACATTGACCTAATTTTCTAAGTAGCTAATGTCTTAAAGAGAAAAGAGCAGGAAGCACAAGCAATTATCTTAGTAAAACACAGAGACGTGTGTACACTTTCCCCTGGGAGTCTGCTGCCCAGTGGTTGCAAACGGCAGCCTCCTTGGTAGTGTATGCAGACTGTTGTCTATACGGGCTGCCCTAAGAGGCCTTAGAGACAATTTTCTGGTGGTCATTGAGTCTCTGATCTCAATGCTGTCCCCAGTCTAAGCTCCAGACAAGTGTTCATGGTGCCTTTGGGAAGCCCCAGGGCACAGTGGCCAGGGTTCACACTGGCCAGGTCATCATGTCCATCCGCACCAGACTGCAGAATAAGGACACGATTGAGGCTCTTCAGAGAGACACGTTCAAGTTCCCTGGCCTCCAAATGACCACATCTCAAAGAAGCAGGACTTCACCATTTAATGCAGATGAATGTGACCATGTAGCCGCTGAGAAGCGGTTCATTCCTGATGGCTGTGGGGCCAAATATATCCCCACTCAGTTCCCTGGACAAGTGGCAGGCCCCACATTCTTGAGGGCTTCAACAGTGCTCTCCTGTCCCCTGTTAAGTAATAAATCTCATATACAATCTAAAAAAAATAAGATGTTAGAATGTAAGTCTCATAACACTAGTTACAAAAAAAAAAAAAAAAGCAAAAACCTGTTAGTTATCCAAGTAGCAAAGTTAGTCCATCTGAACATTAACAAAATATGTGGATATTTCATACGAGGACAAGGCCCAGAAATCATCCAAAAGTATCTCAACACACAGGTTAATCAACTTTTAAATGCTTGTCTTGAACTTGCCTGGCAAGCATTTTTGGACAATCTGCTCATGACTGAGTATGAGCGATAGGCAGTTCCTCCGTGCCCACGAGGCTCTGACGGGTCTGTCTTCCTTCCGGCAATGTTCCCTTTTTCCTGTCTCTGCTTTCAGATGCTGTCTCAGTAGCTTTTTCTGGTGCTTTGGGCCCCTTACTCTTCCGCTAAAGGCCCCTCCCTGCCCTGTGGAAACACATGTGCCATGTGGCTGGCTGCCTGTCTGCCATGTGGTCAACCTCTACATCAGCGTAACTGAGACCGAACGACTCTCTGTTTCCTATGTCCCTTCTCTAGGCTGTTACCAAGATTTACACCTCTCTTGCTCTGGGTGTTTTATTTTAAACTCTTAATAAAACTGCTCTGGAACTTAAAATAATGTGTTTAAGTAAGATGTTAGTTATCCTTCATGCAAATCCAGTAACAAGATTTTCTCAGGCTCAGTTTCCAGAATTACCATTGGAGAGCATCAGACTGTCACACCCTTCCCCACTTGGGTGGTTACGAATAAGCTGATCACATCAGACTGAGGCGGAACTCCCACCAGTGGAAGGAGACACAGTTACCGCCAGCTCTGGGATAAAAGTTCATGGAACTTCCCACCCTGGTGAGCTTGCCTGTTAGGTTGAGGTACTGCACATCTTTTGAAAAACTTTATAAAGTTGCCTTGCCGTGTTACTTTGGTTTGCGCATGCGTCACTTACTCTTTTCCAACAGACACAGTTCCAGAAGCCTGGCTGAGGTAACGTCCCAGCTAGCCAGGTTTGGGTTTTGGTTCTTTTCAGTCTCAAATTTTACAGTTGACTATTAAACTTTTGTATTTTAATTAACCTTTTTTTTTTCTTTTCCCAAAGGAAGAGTGAAAGAAAAATGAGCTAGAAGCGGAGTTCTCCATCAGCACTCAGAGCGCGTACCCCTTTGCAGCTGTGTCTCCCACAGAGCTGACTCTGCCCACTAGCCACAGGCTGCCAGGCTCCAAGCTGTCAGGGGTTATCTGTGGCACCCCACACGGTGACCACACATTAACTAACAGGGCCTCCTCTTTTCCTACTTTCTTTGGAAGTCCTACATTCCTTTTTCAAATGCAAAACTCCATCCCTTCCCCTTGGCTGCCCAGGAAGCAGAGACAGCCTTTTTGCAGGCCCGTACTATGGATGACTCGCCAACCATGTGATACACCTCCTCTCTCCCCAAGAAAACTGAAAGAAACCTCCATTCTTCTACCTGGGCCTGAGTATTCCTCAGAGCGCCCCATCCCCCGCCCCCATGCTATCTGCCTGGCACTGGGGCTTGAATTCTCCTCAGAACCCTTGCCATGTTTCCCCTGTGGCATTCACATATCTCCTGACAAACCCCTTACCCAAAAGACGTCTCTGTGTTCCCTTGAGCCCCAAACCCAAGACTTCTCACTGTATGTATTAATAGAGCCTCCAAATCATTCATAAACTTGTCTGTAAAAAAAATCATGAATACACATACACACATTTCAAACTGAGCATGCCAAGAATAGAAATTTTAGTATTCAATGAGTTTAAACATATCCAAGAGGCTGGAGAGATGGCTGGTTGGTTAACAATGTTTGCTGCTCTTAGAGGACCCAAGTTCTGCACTCAGCACCCATACAGGGCACCACAAACCTCTGTCTTCAGTTCCAGGGGATCCAATGCCCTCTTCTGACCTCCATGGGCACCCATACACCCATGCCATGAGTGCATGTGTGCATGTGAACACACACACACACACACACACACACACGTAAATAAAAATAATTATTTTTAAAAACTGAAGTGACCAGAGGTTTGCAGCTCAGTTGTTTTCAGAAATTCTAGGAACAAATTAGTTTTTTTGCCCCATGCAAATTAATTAACTATCCTAAGTTTACAAAAGGTAAGTCAACTAGAGTTCTCCCTAGGGAGCATCAGGATGGTACAAATGTATTGTTTACATGGTTACGAAAATCACAACAGAGATCGCAACACCCTTCTTTCTCTGTCTCAAATGGCTCAACAGAACTCCAAGGGCTCAACAGAGCACAGCCCCAGAAAACCAATATTGTGCCCAAATTCTGAACCTCAAAATCACCAAGAGGCCCATTTCGATGCAAAAGCAGAGTCTTTTATAGTAGTTGTTTAACGAGCTAACACATTAGCTCGGGCCCTGCACCCATTCACCTTGGCAGATGGCTGGAGAAAAGACCCTGAGAACCTGCAAGGCGGAGATCTTAAAGGGAAGCATAAGGGGAGTGTCTAGGGGTATGAAACAGTCTCAGGATTGGTGCGCTTCCAGGTTTGGACAATCTGCCCTGTGTTGAGTGGTCAACTGGTTGTTATGGCTCATAGGCCCTCCCAGGACAGTTGCTATGCTCTGAACGTCACTGCTGTGCACACCCAGAGCCAGAAAGCACAGCCCCACCAGCTAACTTCTGATTGGTTCCTTGCCATGAGGAGGGCATCTGTGGCAAGGTCATGTAAGCACATGCTCGTCTGTCATGGCTGCTAAAACGGGGCGCTGGTCACTTCACCAACACATCTCAACCTTCCTGTAATATGGTAGGTGCCCAAATATCTCAAGAGGACTCCTGAGTTACTCAAAAGGGCTGCCAAAATAACCAGGACAGTCATACACAGAGCACAGTAGCCCAAATAGCTCAGCAAAACCTCAGTGATACAGAACTCCCAAAGACAAAGCCAGTCACCAAAAACCAGTTACTGAAATGGTACAGAAAAAAAAACTCAAAGGGGACCCCAAACTACAAGAAGACACCCTACTGGGGAGAAGCTTACCAAAGGTCAAGGTTTCTTGGGCATCCAGAAGAAAATCCGGACACCTGTTTCTCTGCTTTACCAAATAGAGGGGAAAGAAGCTGATAGCAAATGAAGTGGGAATGTGAGAAAAATCCCTGAAATAAGATAGTTCCAGAAGCTGTGTGGGACTAGTTTGTGCTTCTTCTCTGTCTGGTGTCAAGTGGCAAATGCCCAAAATATCTTTTCTCCTGGTTATGGCTAATCAGAGCCTAAGCCATGACAGCCCTAATAACCTAGGTTTGGCCACCTATCCCCAAAATGCCAATGAAAGAGACAGGTGACAGCAAAACACATTAGGGAGAAGAGCAAAGGTTTCCGGGGACACCCAAGACTATTTTGTGGTCCTGATGTATAGAAGCAAGGTCCTACTCAAGATGTCCCATCCATCCCTGACAAATCATCGTCTCCATCTCCCCTGCAAGGCAGTCTGATGGGTTGTCAGAATTGTGTGAGATCTCTTTCCCAGAAAAACATTCCTGCTCTGGATAACACCAGGATTCAGTCTTCCTTCTCAGGCATGAAATTCATGGGAAATTCCAACTACTTGGGGGGCCATTGTTAATAGTTCAATCATCAAAACGAGAGGCAAAGTGTTAGTCTCTTCTTTAGAATATGTTCGCTCATATCAAGAAGGCTGCACAGACATGAGGAGGGGCTGGATCAAGAGGCCATGAGTGCTACAAGCACTGGAGGTAGGAGGAGGCTATGCAAGCCATTTGGAGGCTCATGAACTCCTGTTGCCAGGTATAGAGATGCAAGAGTAGGTGTCTGCATGCTGAGCTTCGTCTTGCTTTGGTCTGATCATTTCTTGCTAAGTCCCCATTCCCCTTTTTGAAGTGGAATATTCATTATGTGCTACGTATGCTGGAGTTTGTAACTGTATTATTATTATTATTATTATTATTATTATTATACAGGAGTTCACAGTTCAAAGATTTTGGACTTTTGAAAAGTTTTGGGATTCTTACAGACTATGAGACATTTAGTGATGCATTGAAATTTACCTTATAAATGGTTTTGTGGTTATGGGGACAAAGATGAAAGGTTATGGCTTAAAAGTGATATATCTGGGGGTCATTTTGTCTCAAGGGATGGACTTGCAATGGTCAATATTTACTTGATAAGGTCTAGAACTCCCTGAAGAGGAAAATCTCTGCACATGTTATCGAGAGAGTTTTTAGATCGGATTAACTGAGGTAGTGTGGTGGTTTGAGAATGTCCCCCATAGGCTTAGGTGTTGGAATACTTGATCTCCAGTAGGTGGTGCTGTTTCCGGAGTGCTAAGAGGTGTGGCCTTGCTAAAGGAAGCATGTCACCGTTGAGGGGGCAGGCTTTGAGGTTTAAAAGCTGCAGGGTATTTCCAGTAGCCCCCATATCCTGACTGCAGTTCATGACATAAGTCCTTGGGTCTCACCTTCCAACTCTGGCTGCCATGTCTGCTGCCTGCTGCCATACTGTCTCTGCCCTTATGGCCCTCTGGACCCATAACCCCCAATAAATCCTTCTGTCTATAAGTTACCTTGGTCATGGTGTTTTATCACAGCAATAGAAAAGCAAT